ACAGATATTATATGACATATTTTATGATCAGATTATCATAAATCCAGAAGTTAATGTCAAAGTAATTTTGACATTAACAAAGGTATTTTTACAAACTACTATCATTTTTGATCAATAAAATGCCTAGTAAATAACACTAATGAGACCATGAGCCTCTGAGCACTGTGAAACCAGGTAAAATGTTTTCTTGTTTGCCACTGCATGCTGAGAGTAGGCATGTCTGGCACCTGAAACATGCTCAATAAATATCTGATAAACATCATTACTATCCTAAGTTGAGTTCTGTAGGAGCAGATCTTGAGATGGGAATTTTTGATTGAGAGAGTACTCTCAGGAGACGCCCATAAGGATGAGAAGAAAGCAGGATGGAATATGAAGAAATCATGCAAATATGTTTTATTAGCTTGGGTTGCCATTGCAAAATATTATAGACTGGGTGGTTTAAATAATAGAAACTTATTTCTCACAGTTTTGGAGGCTGGAAGTTCAAGATCAAGTTTCCACCAAAGTAGGTTTTATTCTGAAGCCTGTTTGTTCTCTTCACTTGTAGGCAGCCAATATCTCCCTGTGTGCTAAGACGGCCTCTTCTTTGCATGCTGGGAGAAACAGAGAGTGCTCTCTGCGATTTCTTCTTACAAGGACATTAATTGCATCATGATGGCCTGACCCTCATGACCTCATCCAATCCTTATTAACTCCCACGATCTCATCTCCAAATAACTATCACTTTGGGGTTAAGATTTCAACATATGTATTTTAGGGGAACACAATCAGTTCATAACATGTAGTTTCAGACAAATCCTAGCCTTTTGCTGAGACTTAGTCTGGTCCCACCAAGAACTCTAAAATATAAATTGCACCACTGAAGTTTTATATCTCTATACATTCAATATACCAGTTGGGTACCACTGATATGTCATGCTTTATGTGTCATCTGCTGGGTCAGATATCAGATATTTCAGGGCTACCATTCTAACTTAGCTGCCCATTTTATCATTACACCCACTTTACTTTTAATGATTAGGGACTGCTCCCTGGCTGTTGCTATTCTAAGATTCTCTCATCCTCACTCTTAAGGGGAAGTGACAGAATCTCCCATGGTCAGCCCTGTCATACAGAAGACAACCATTACCAAGGCATTCAGGAATTCTGGTGCTTCTTTTGCCCGTGCATCCTTTATTGTTTTGGTATATTCAGCTAGTCTGTCTGTCTTTCTTTTCTTTTCTTTTTTTCTTTTTTTTGCTAGATATTGACTTGTGAAAATAAGGTTGATGATTACATTTTGGCTAAACAGGCCACAGGAGCTTGGTATACTCAGTGGATGAATTACTGCTGTCTATTCATTTAGCTGGACCTTGAGGTCTGTTAAGCTGGTTGCTGAAGGTTCACTTTCATCAGGGGCTTTGAAAACAAAAATGGATGTTGCAGTGAGTAATGTGGTCTCGGATAGATGGCAGTGCAGACTGCTGAAAGGCCCCCTGCTCCCCCCAATTCTAAAATTTGCTTTTAAGGGTTTTACAAATCTGCTGTTTGATTCTGTAGCCTTTTGTACTGAGACTTGAATTGTACTGCAGACTTAATGAAGCTGAACTTCATTTAAGATCTATCTAAAAGGAACAAGATCCTTGAGAATTGTCAATCACGTACAAACACCTTCAGACAGCTTAGGTGATAGAATTACTGTCTTTCAATCGTACAAAACATTCATTCTAGCATAGGCTTTTCTCTGAGAGTTTTGATCCATTCCTGTGTATTCTTCCACAGCAGTTCTGCTATTTCCAACTCCATGTAGGTCATTGCTTTTTCCAAGTTTCTAAGAGTCATCCAGGAAGTATATTAAAATCATCTCCAAAGGCCTGTGTCGGTCTTAATTCCTGCCATGGGAGAGGTGCTCCAAATGGAAAGCTCTTTCAAGTCCATAATTATATTCTTGTGCTTTCTGGTTCAGTACCTTCAATATGTATTCCCAGTCATATTCACCAATTATTTTGGGTACACATTGTACATTTTAACCAGATCCGATAGTTCCTTTGGTATAAAATTCTTCTCTTCTTTTCACATTCAGAGCTTTTCCTCATTCAGCTTATTCTCAGATTTGACAAAATTTTTGGTCCAGTGGCAGGAAGGGTAGGTGAAGATTTTGAACAGGTCAGGGTTGCTCTGTAAGGCATTTGTCCCATTTAAGGCCCCTATAGAATTTTCAAACAATGGGTACCATTACCTTCTTACAAGGCAGAGTAGACCAATCCACAGGCCTAGAGGTTTTAGGGTAATCTTGAAGCAATGTATTTTAGCCACCTCAGGACCTCTGACTGAAATACTTTTCTTTCACATAGCCACGAGATTCACTTTCTCACCTTTTGGTAGCCATACATATACAAAAAATATATATATTTGAGACAGAGTCTTGCACTGTGCCCAGGGTGGAGTGCAATGGTACAATCTCAGCTCACTGCAACCTCCACCTCCCAGGTTCAAGTGATTCTCCTGCTTCACCCTCCTGAGTAGCTGGGATTATAGGGACCCACCACCACACCCAGGTAATTTGTTTGTACTTTTAGTAGAGACAGGGTTTCACTATGTTGGTCACACTGGTCTCGAATTCCTGACCTCAAGTGATCCACCCACCTTGCCCTACTAAAGTGCTGGGATTACAGGCATGAGCCACCCCTCCCTGCCTTTGGTAGCCATTTTTAAAATAGTGTCTTTATAATGATGCCTTCCTAGACCACACTACTTTTGCCTTTATGATACTACTGATAATATTGTTTATACATTTTTTTCTAAGTGAATGCTAAGTATTTGAAAAACCCATGATATATTTGCATGACTATGAGATAAATTATGCCTATCATGCCTGGCACAAATTCCAATTACATATCATTTGATCCACTATATTATAACAGAACTTGATGAACACCAATCATATACAAAGCATATTACTAAACACGGCTTCATTTTTTTTTGCTTATTTTGTATTAACAGCGTGGCAGAGAATTGCTCCAGACACTCATATCCACCCTTCAGTGCAGAAACCACCTAGCATTGTCCCTACTGAAATTCCTCATTACATCTTTAATAAAGGTTTAGTTACCAAGTGATTTGTCTAAATATTCTAAAGATTGCAGTGGCCAGTTTGCTTTTGGGTAGCCTGTTCATTAAGGGTAGTAGAAGCCATCAGGGTAGAAGAAATCAAGGCTGGATAAGAATACCATCATGACAGTGGGAAGACACTAGAATGAGTCATAAAGAAAATATCACAAGATCATTTGAGTGACAGCTGCCTCCTTCTATAGGTCTCCACAGGGATGTAGACCATATTTTCAACTTGAATGCTTAGCTATTCAGTGCTTGATGGAAAGCCAGGGAGTGTTGCAGAACAAGAATAGGACAACATCTGTTGTGTCCTTATGTACTCTGCTCAGTGCATTATATACATTAGCTCATTTCATCCTTACAAATATCCTATGAGTTAGGTAATACGTTTATCCTTATGTACAGATGAGAAAACTGAGGCAAGAAGAGTTTAATTGTGCATGGTCACACAATCGGAAATAGCAGAGCTCTGAATTATTTCCCAGGTCTGATTGACTACAATGTCAGTTCTGGGACCAACTACAAGTGTTTTAGTCAAGAAAAGGAACTCTTTGTTATCTGTAATGCATATACAAACTGGAATATGTTTTGTTCTTTTTTGGTCTCATGTTTCATCTATATAATAAGGATATTTTACTTGATAATTTCTAAGAAATTTTCTACCTGCAAAACTTCAAATATTTAATCATTTACTTATTGAACTTGCATCAGGTGCCCAGATATTTTAAAGTACAACACTAGATTTTTCTTGGTAGTATAAATGCAAATTATTTATTTTTTTCTTGCATTACTTTTTTTTCCATAGGAGATTATACCAGGAAGCAGAAATAAGACATCGCTTGTGGTTTTACTTTCTTTCCCTGGGTATCTTTGATGTCAATATTACAGAAACTAAAACATGTAATTTGTTTCACCAAGAGTAGGTAACACCCTCTTTACCCTAATAATATTTTCTTTACTCTAGACACAGAGCATACTTGTTGAAAACCCTCCACGTTTATGTAATTGACAATTTTTCTTTCATTTCCCTTTTAGCTTTTCAACGAAAACATGAAAATAAAAACGTCTGAAATGTTTTCTCTGATGGTTGAAATTTATTAATTGCATCATAAATTTGAGGTCTGAGAAACACAAGATTGTTCAGGATTACACAATTTTATATTCCAGAAGCTATAAAGGTTTCCCAGTTATGTAAAAGCAAATACTTTTGCCATTGTGCATTTTGTGTTTCTAGCAGCCTTACACACTCTACATGCCAGAAATAATTACTCTCACCATGTTTCTTCTTTGTCTATGGGTATAATCCATTTCACTAATTACTCAAAACATGTTTTCCTATAAACCATGCAAGTAACATCTTTTGAGCACATGTAGATTTAATGCCTGTATAACACTTTCATTTAGAAACATAAATATTTTGCTCCACTTTCTTTTGAAATAGCAATGCCAGAAGAGACATCTACACTGAATTTTTCTATACTGAATGAAGTTTGTGTTCCTTTGGTCACAGGCTAGCTCCCTTAGAAATCAGTCTACCACTTAGCTTATAGGATCCATTGTACTGGGCATCTGTTAATGACTTTACTAATCCTTTTCCTGCCCCTTTCTCCACTCTTCTGCATCACAATGTATGCCATTTTCCTGCCAGCTAGCTTTTTTTGCTGGTCAGCTTCTGAGCAAGTTTATTAATGGTGAAAACTGGAAAATGGGAGTAACAGAGAAATAAGAGATTTCTTCCTCTCTTAGGAGAGAGTTAGACATCACGACAACATCTTTGGCAGTGGCTGTATCATCTAAGCTCATAAAAGAATGGCCCCTCTCTCTATGATATGATGGCTTCTGGCCAGGAATCAAGCTTCCCTTATAGATTTATTATCACCATCTCTTCCCTTTGTCTTTGCTCCAGGGTTGGCCTGCTTCCAACGGCTGTTAATCTCTGGCTTGCCTCACCAACCCTTATGGACTCATCAGCTCTTCTATCAACTAAGTAAGCAATTCCATGAACTTTATTTTCTCTATCTGAAGCATTTAGTAGTTTCTGTTTCTATGCTGTTTGTGTTTTTTACAGAGATTAACCCACACATTTATTTGACATGCATTCACCACTACTTCATTATGAATTGAGCTTGTGCAAGGCACTGTAAAAAATCCATGGGTAAGAGTGTAACTCTGGATAAGTACACATTTTTCCTATTTTTATGAAAATTATAGTCTGATATGAAAGGAGATACTTTATAATAAATTGTGGCTATAATTCATTATTAAAATAATATCTATTTCTCTACATATAATGAATGATCTGATATTATTACTTTCTTGTTCTTTTTTTCATATATATATTCTATTGCACTTTAGGTTCTGGGGTACATATGAAGAACATGTAGGATTGTTGCATAGGTACGTACCTGGCAATGTGGTTTGCTGCCTCCACCCCCCCATCACCTATATCTAGCATTTCTCCCCATGTTATCCCTCCCCAACTCCCTGCCCCCAACTTCCCCTCCCCTAGTCCCCCTGCAACAGACCCATGTGTGATGCTCCTCTCCTGTGTCCATGTGTTCTCATTGTTCAACACCCGTCTATGAGTGAGAACATGCAGTGTTTGATTTTCTGTTCTGGTGTCAGTTTGCTGAGAATGATGGTTTCCAGATTCATCTATGTCCCTATAAAGGACACAAACTCATCATATTTTATGGCTGCATAGTATTCCATGGTGTATATGTGCCACATTTTCCTTGTCCAGTCTATCATCAACGGGCATTTGGGTTGGTTCCAGGTCACTGCTATTGTAAACAGTGCCACAATGAACATATGTGTGCATGTGTTTTTATAACAGAACAATTTATAGTCCTTTGGATATATACCCACTAATGGGATTGCTGGGTCAAATGGAATATCTATTTCCAGGTCCTTATGGAATCACTATACTGTCTTCCATAATGGTTGAACTAATTTACAACCCTACCAACAGTGTAAAAGTGTTCCTATTTCCCCCACATCCTCTCCAGCATCTATTGCCTCAAGATTTTTTAATGATCACCATTGTAACTGGTGTGAGATGGTCTCTCAAGGTGGTTTTGATTTGCATTTCTCTAATGGCCAGTGATGATGAGCATTCCTTCATATGTCTTCTTTTGAAAAGTGTCTGTTCATGTCCTTTGTCCACTTTTGAATGGGTTTGCTTTTTTCTTGTGAATCTGTTTTAGTTATCTGTTGGTTGCTGGTTCACTCTAATAATTGTTTCTTTTGCTGTGCAGAAGCTCTGGAGTTTAATTAGATACCATTCGTCTATTTTGGCTTTTATTGCCAATGCTTTTGGTGTTTTGGTCATGAAGTCCTTGCCTATGCCTAAGTCCTGAAGGGTTTTACCTAGGTTTTCTTCTAGGGTTTTGTGGTGTTAGATGTTAGGTCTTATGTTTAAGTCTTTAATCCATCTGGAGTTAATTTTAGTGTAAGGTTTCAGGAAGGGTCCAGTTTCTGCTTTCTGCACATGGCTAGCCAGTTTTCCCAACACCATTTATTAAACAGGGAATCCTTTCACCATTGCTTGTTTTTGTCATGTTTGTCAAAGATCAGATGATTATAGAAGTGTGGCATTGCCTCTGAGGCCTCTGTTCTGTTCCATTTGTCTATATCTCTGTTTTGGTACCAGTACCATGCTGTTTTGATTACTGTAGACTTGTAGTATAGTTTGAAATCAGGAAGTGTGATGCCTCCAGCTTTGTTCTTTTTGCTTAGAATTGACTTGGCTATGTGGGCTCTCTTTTGGTTCTACATGAAGTTTAAGGTAGTTTATCCAGTTCTGTGAAGAGGATCATAGGTAACTTGATGGGGATAGTGTTGAATTTATAAATTACTTTGGGCAGTATGGCCAGTAGCATAGTATTGATTCCTCCTAATCATGAGCATGGAATGTTTCTGCATCTGTTTGTATCCTCTCCTATTTCCTTCAGCAGTGGTTTGTAGTTCTCCTTGAAGAGGTCCTTTACATCCTTTGTTAGTTGTATTCCTAGGTATTTTATTCTCTTTGTAGCAATTGTGAATGACAGTTAGTTCTTGTTTTGGCTCTCTTTAAGTATGTTATTGGTGTATAGGAGTGCTTGTGATTTTTGCCCATTGATTTTGTATCCTGAGCCTTTGCTGAAGTTGCTTATCAGTTTAAGGAGATTTGGGGCTGAGAAGATAGGGTCTTCTAAATATACAATCATGTCGTCTGCTAATAGAGACAATTTGACTTCCTCTTTTCGTAATTGAACACTCTTTATTTTTTTTTTCTTGCCTAATTACTCCAGCTAGAACTTCCAATATTATATTTAATAGGAGTGGTAAGAGAGGGCATCCTTATCTAGTGCCAGATTTCAAAGGCAATGCTTCCAGTTTTTGCTCATTCAGTATGATATTGGCTGTGGGTCTGTTATAAATAGCTTTTATTATTTTGAGATATGTTCCATCAATACCCAGTTTATTGAGAATTTTTAGCATAAAGGGTTGTTGCATTTTGTCAAAGGCCTTCTCTGCATCTATTCAGATAAACATGTGTTTTTTGTCTTTGATTCTCTTTATGTGGTGGATTATGTTTATAGACTCTCTGGGACACATTTAAAGCAGTGTCTAGAGGAATATTTAGAGCAATAAATGCCTATATGAGAAGCAAGGAAAGATCTAAAATCAATACCCTATCATCAAAATTGAAAGAGCTAGAGGAGCAAGATCAAAAAAACTCAAAAGCTATCAGAAGACAAGAAATAACTAAGATCAAAGCAGAACTGAAGGAGATAGAGACACAAAAAACCCTTCAAAAAATCAATAAATCCAGGAGCTGGTTTTTTGAAAAGATCAGCAAAATAAACCACTAGCCAGATTAATAAAAAAGAAAAGAGATAAGAATCAAATAAATGCAATAAAAAATGATAGAGGGGATATCACCACCAATCCCACAGAAATACAAACTACCATCAGAGATTACTACAAACAACTCTATGCACATAAACCAGTAAACCTGGAAGAAATGGATAAATTCCTGGACATTTGCACCCTTCCAAGCCTAAACCAGAAAGAAGTCAAAACCCTCAACAGATCAATAACAAAGGCTGAAGTTGAGGCAGCAATTAATAGACTACCAACCAAAAAAAGGCCAGGTCCAGATGGGTTCACAGCCAGATTCTACAAGACATACAAAGAGAAGCTGGTACCACTCCTTCTGAAACTATTCCAAGCAATCCAAAAAGAGGGAATCCTTCCCATATCATTTTATGAGACCAACATCCTCCTGATGCCAGAACCTGGCAGAGACTCAACAAGAAAAGAAATCTTCAGGCCAATTCCATGATGAACATAGATGCAAAGATATTCAATAAAATACCTACGAACCGATTGGAATAGCACATCAGAAAGCTTATCCATCACAACGAAGTAGGCTTCATCTCGGGGATGCAAGACTGGTTCTTGTTCTTAAATGTAACATTCTAGCTGTGTCTTTACGTGGTGAAAGAGGTAAGGGTCTTTAGTGCCTCATTCATAAGGACTTAATCTCACCTCCCAAATGCTCTACCTCCTAATTCTATCACCTTAGAGATTAGCACTCAACAAAATAATTCTGGGAAAAGGGGAGGAACATGAACATGCAGACCATAGCACTTACCATACTTAGTGTTCATTTCACCAGTGGTGAATTTTTATCAATACTAAACTATCTCAGTGTAGATAGTAATTCAGTTGTTCCTTTCCATGGGTAATTATTTTACCTTAGCTCTTCTTCACAACCAGAACTCTTAAATAAATCTGTCAAATGCTCTTCTTTCATTGTTCTACTATTTTCTTTTATTTTTCACTGACTATTTAATAAATATGTGATTGTTTCCACTTTACACAAAGGGCCACTGCTTAATTTCATCTTTGTATATTTCTGTCTTATTGTTTCTGACTTTGTTTCTCTCTCATACAATGTGAACACATTCAAAGAAACATTTACACAAATTGCTAAATTAACAAAGAACAGGGAATAAGGAGCTGGGGAGTCAGGAAAAGGTTTTTTAAGTCTGAGGTCATGCAAAATGCGTAAGATATTTCTAGATTAGTGGTTTTCAAACTTTTTGGTCTCAGGACAACTTTATGCCCTTAAAAGTAACTGAAGGAGCCAAAATTTTTCTGTTTACATGCGTTTTATTTACCTATATATATAATATTGTAAATTAAAACCAAAATTTACAACATATTTTATTCACTTACAGATAATAAAACTCATTGCATATTAACATTAAAACATATTTTTCTTTATAAAAAGTTGCAGTATTTTCAAGTAAACCAGTGATATGAGTTTGAAGAATATCATTATTTTACAATTTTGTGAATCTTCTTAATGTTTGGTTTAACAGAACACTGTCGATTTCTCATATCTGCTCTGCATTACATCTGTTATAGAATATTGTTTTGATTGACATATATAAGGAAAGTCCCACCTCATACAGGTATATAATTGAACAAGGGAAAATAATGTTAACAGTGTTTTCTGATAACTAAGAATAGTATTATCCTAAAACTCAACTAGTGGTAAGTTCTTTCATGTTCATTGTAATGTGCATTATGAAACTATCAGTAAATGTTTTTTACCCTGTTTCAGTAAAATCAATTGGTCTGTCTTGCACTTTTATATTTTATCTTTAAATCAATATATATTGATCAGTTGAAAAATAGTTGTTTGTGGAGTTATGCAGAAGTACAATTAATTTCAAAATTTTGACACATTTCATTATACACTATAAAAATCACATCCATTAACATTATTACCAGTATCTTCAGAAGAGGCTTTAAGTACTGAGAAACAGTCAACCTCACAATGAAAATATAAGTTTTTCAATATTCACATTTTCCTATCAAAGCTCAAATGTTATTCTTGGTTATATATAACATTAACAATTTGTTTTTTTTTTTTTTTTTTAAGTTACAGGGTTACTTTGTTCCTTTTCCAGATAATGTCTGCCAAACTTTCAATTCTGAATAATCATAATTTTCAGTTATTCCTTCGAGGAAAAATGTTGTTCAGATCACAACTCAATTGCATAATGTGTTTGGGATGACCACTGTCATTCAATGTCCAGCCTAAGTGCTTTATTTGTATTTCCCCTTTTGTCATACAAAATACTTTTAAGTTGAATAATTGAATCAAGATTTAATAAAATTTATAATTTTAATTGCCTAATTAAAGACATTTTTAAATTAAATTTAAAAAAAAAAGCTGCAGGCATCTGGCTATGAGGAATACAATAATGATTTACATAATTCTGAGCCACTGCCTTGATTGGTGCTGTTTTATCTATTATGGATTATGTAAAATCAGTGCAATGTCAGCTTACAGAAAAAGTCAAATAAGGTCATAGTATATTAATTTGCTAGAACTT